TTAAACACCAGAGGCTCAGCCTCAAAACTCACGTCTACATGTCACCACAGTAGGACAAACCGACAGACAAGTTTGTCCTGCTGTTGGAGACTTCTCTTATCCCCCCCCACCTGGGTCCCTGTGGCTGACTGTTCCTCTGTTTGGCTTCCCATCTTTTAATCCCCTTTCTCCTGTTCTTCTGGCCTACTTCTTTGGGCGTCCCTGAGTTTCCCCTCCTCACCTAATCCCTTCGGCTGATTGCTCTTCTCTTTGGCTCCCTGGGTTTTACCCCTTTCTCCTGCTCTTCCGGCCTGCTACTCTGTGCTACGCCCGTGCTTACCTTGCTCCTGGAGACCCGGTCCCTCTCGGGAGGGTAACAAGGGAAAGTGTTCAGTGCTCTTCTCTTTTTTACTAATAGTAGTAGTAGTAGTTTTAAAACAAACCAATTAAAAAACAGAAAAAAGAAAAAAAAACATCGGGGCAGGGTACCCAGACTCCTTCCGAGCACACAGACTGGGATGGAATTCCTGCCTGCCCAGAAGATGGGTGGGAGTGAGAGATGGACGCATCTTTGTTCACCAAGAGGGTGTGGGGTAACAAGGGAAATGTTGCACCTTTCCAGTCATCTGGTCTGGAATGTCCTTGGGGTTATTGGCAAGTATAGCCTGTTTTTAAGTCCCTGGAATCTGGGAGAACACTGTCACTTTAAATATCCAAAATGGTCAAGCCACTCGTAAACAGTCAAAATGGCTGCACCCTCCGGACAGACAAAAGTTCACAGCTTAGCCGGCTGTCCTCCTCGCTGCTTTCCCTTTCATTCCCCAGAGCAGTCTACCATGCAGTCTCTGGCTAGCAGGGCTGATTTTAGGTTAATTCTTCTTAGGTCCAACCACCACTCTGCAATATCCAAGCTGTCTGCGCCATCAGGATGACTGCCAGACCACCTCTCCGTATGTTTCCTTTTTTGGTGTTTTCATGCAAATTCTTCTGCTAGTTGGAGTTTAGTCCACTTCTATATCCTTCCCTTCAAGGCTCAGGGGTCCAGGATTATCTTCTGTATCTGTGTTAATCGGTTTCCCTTTTCTTTGTTGAAGAGGGTCTGTGCAGTCTTCTGCCTATTCCGCCATCTTACCAGAACTCTCAGACTGATCATTTTAAAGTGTGATTACAATCATTCTTTCCATGTTTCCCTCATTGACTACAGTGAGATAAACTTCTAACTCCTTGACATGGTAATAAACAGCTCTTATAACACCTGCCTTACATTCTAGCTTCATCCCCTGCAATTTGCCCCCACACTCCATGCATGATCCCTTCTGAACAACTTAAGAATGTCATGATCTTTCCTAGCTTTTGAATCCAGGAATACTATGCTTGGAACGCCTTTCTCCTTCACTGTACTGCTAGCAAATTCCTACTCATGTGTCAAATATTAGTTTAAATTTTACCTCCTCTAGGAAGGCTTCCCTGAACTCTACACAAGCACTGGTGGTGCAGTACCTAAGGCATCTGAGTGCAAATGAAGGTTGGCAGTTCACATTCACCAGCCACTCTGTGGAAAGAAGATGGGGGAACCTACTTCCATGAAGATTTACTGCCTTGGAAACTCAACGGAGTTTGCTATGAGTTGGAATCAACTTGATGGCAGTGACTTTGGTTTTTTTTTTTTTTGGTTTGAGGACAGCTTCCCTTAACTCTCTAGGCAGAGTTAAGTGTTTTTTTTATTATATCACCATAGCTCACCTCTTAGACACTTGAAGATTTATCACACTGTTAGAATTTATTGTTATATGCTTGATCCCCCCTCCCCGACACACACAGTACAAGTGAGACTCAGGAAGGCAGGGACAAGACTCTATTCATATCTGTTTCCCTAGCACCTAGAACAATGCTGGTCACCATATTCAATAAATATCTAGGGAAATGCCAAACATTTTTTAGATTTATTAACTTACTACAGCTGGTGAGGGAACGTGAATGCTTGGGACTGATCGAGGCCGCACGTGATTGGCCAAATGGCAAAGGACAACACCATCAGTCAGAGCCGCTCCAAGATCACAAGGTAGAGATACCTTTAACCGGTACTCAATATGCTGTAAGAACAGGAGAACATGTAACATTAACCGAAAAGTGGGTGGCATATAGGACATAAGTTACAATGCAATATATTTAATTAGAAGTCAAGATAAAAATCAAGTAACTTAAGTACCACAATATCTGTTTTATCATTCTATCCTAAGTCAGTCAATAACTTAAGGAGATTCAATATATATATATGTATCACAGCCAGGCTACGTAATTTTCTGATAAAACACTGGATTCTCTTCCAATTCCAAATTAAGTAGCCAATAATTATCTATATGTATGGTATGTGTATGTATGTAATAATTTATAAATTATTGTAACTCTTGTAAGATTTCTTCACAATATGAGGAAGAAAAGGAAAAAAATTTTAAATGAGTACAACCAAGAATTGAGCTTTACAGAATAACTCGTCTAAATCAAATTCTTAGTTAATAGTTGAAAACAATTTCCTTATTAGCAAAATTTCATTTATATACATCACATTATGGAGTACACTGTTGTTGTTATGTGCCGTTGAGTCAGCCTCGACTCACAGCGACCCCTCCTTGGGTTTCCGAGGTGGTATCACTATGGAAGTAGATTGCCCAACCTTCCTTCTGAGGAGTGGCTGGTGGGTTTGAACCGCCAGCTTTCTGGTTAGCAGTCAAGTGCCTTAGGCACTATGCTACCAGAGCTCCCTATGGAGTACATAGTAGACACTTAATGATTCTACTGAAAATTAGTATCAAGTGAATAAGTGATTACAGGATCATGGACTGTATCACTAAAAAAGTGGGATTCAAAGGTAATGTGCACACCTTCCGTAGCTGATCTATTAATTCCAGCTCTTCTTCTCGCTGTCTTGAATTCTGTCTTGTTATAGAATCTGTAGAATCAGCAGTAGGTGCAGAAGATGACAGAAAGGGTGAAAAATGACCTAGAACAATATTGACATATATTAAGATGTACGTAAGTTGTATGTACATATGTACAAGTTCCTGATGTTTAACTTTAGTAGATAATGCAAATCGAATTCCATACTAATTCAGACTCCTACCAGCAGAGCGTCTATTTTTCTATTAAAAGTAGTTATTTAAAAGAACAAGGCTCCCTGATGCAGCCGTGGTTAAGCACTTGGCTGCTAACTGAAAGGTAGTGGTTTGAACCCACCTGCTGCTCCACAGGAGAAAGATGTGGTGTCTGCTTCTGTATAGACTATAGCCTTGGAAATCCTATGGGGTGGTTTTACTCTGTACTATAGGGTCACAATGAATCAAAATTGACTCGACAGCAGCAGGAAAAAAATATTTTAAAGAACCTGAAATGTATGTTTCCAATTTCAAGTAACTTCTCCTTTTGGGGCCAAGTAAATAATTTGTCTTATTAACTAAAAGAATGTGAGATTTTAAAAATTACTGATTCATTTATTGAAGTACAGAAAAAGCAGCTTCTATTAGCACAGAGAAATCAGGAAAAGAGTACATTTCAGAGAGAAGGAACACTCTAAAGCCTTGAAAGTATTCTGCCTGTTCATTCTCTTACCTGTGGTACTGAGAAATTTTCTAGTCACAACAAATTCAAAGATTTTCCTGCTTCAATGTCAGTGAAATCAAAGACAGAAGCAATGACTTTAAAGCTTCTGCCAAGAAGTCAGTTCAGGGTAGAATTCTAAAAGTATGTAAGAGTTGATGCCAGTGTTCGGTCTTCTTCCCGCCTTCTTAATCACTACTGTTGTCATTATTAGTTGCTGCTGAGTTGATTCTGACTCTTGTTTACTCCACATGGGCAGGGTAGAACAGTTGAGAGGGTTTTCAAGGCTGTCACCTTTCAGAAGCAATTTGCCAGGCCTTTCTTCCAAGGCACCTTTGGATAGGTTTAAACCACTAACCTTTTGGCTAGTTGTCAAGTGCTTCACCATATGCACCACTCAAGGACTACTTAATCACTACTACTTACCTTTATTTGCTTCTGCCCTGACAGCTGCTCGGAAAAGGAAGCTTTCAGGGCGTTGGGGCTGGTTTCTCTGGATAGCAGCAACAGGAAAGGAATATGCAGGGGAATGATGAACTAAACCAGCATGGAAAAGCAAAATAAGATTAAAGGAGATGGAAAGAAAATGAAATGTAATAGCAGATATGCTTGTCATGGAAGTTCAATAAAAAGCAAATGAAGAAAACATCAAATTAAACACGGCAATGATATAATATTAAAATTTTATTAATGCAAAGTATGGTACAGAAAAGTTAGCATGAAAGCAGGTAGGCTGGCTGCTTTTATATGTTTTAATTATCATGTTAGTTTTGGTTTACCAATAAAAGCAGAATGAATATTAATAGCTCTAATACTGTTTCTTACAAACCTATAATCCTGCTAGATCCTGCTCATTTGTCCTAACAAATGGCAAGTGGATGAACAAAGAACTGGTTTAAAAAATGGAAAATGTGCAGAAAGTTCCCACTTGTGTATCTAATTTCCCATCTCAGAAAAAGCAGCAGCAGCTATTTAAAAAGTTAACTATTAGGCATATCCTGATGAGGAACTATTAATCTTCATGTGGTTAATTGCACCTGTGTATGTATTACCTGTTTCTGCTGCAGATGAACTTGATGAGGCATTAGATCTGTCCTCAATCTACAGAGAAATAGATAAGTGATTATTACTCAAGAAAAGATACTTTTCAACATTGGGATTATAAAAGAAAAAACATGCAACTCTCCTTCAAATTAAATCTAGAAATGAGTATTTGGTGAATTTTTAAGTTTTTTTTTCCTCCCCTTAAAGCTAAACTTTTTACTTAACTGTGTAGAATGCAAGAAATTTTATGTAATAAATTCTATAAAGATAGTCTCATTATTAAACAGGCTGTCCTTAGACTGTGAAAAATGATCATCCTAAGGCAAAAAATTTTACTGGGAAATGTATAGGAAAGAGAACAAAATTTCATGTTTTAAGAAACAGTGATAGATGTTTCTTTTGTTTAGGCAAAAAGTGTTTAAGAAATGATTAAAAAAAAAACCACAATCTAGCCACTATCAAATTGACTCTGACTCATAGCCACACCCCTTGGGTTTCCAAGGCTGTAAATCTTTAGGGAAGCAGACTACCACATCTTTCTCCCACAGAACAGCTGGTGAGTTCGAACTGCCAACCTTTTTGTTAGCAGCCAAACACTTCACACCATTGTGCCATCAGGGCTCCTTACTTCAATCTAGGATACTAAAATAAATAGTTTAAATCATTCTGGGGTAATTAACTACATTCAGAAACTCTTGGAAAACTGAATAGAAAAAAGAAAGGTTAAGGAATAATCTCAGAAATTGACATGAACTCAATTTTTACCTAGTTAAGTAATAAAAGAAACAGAACTATGCCCAAATATACTGTATAACTGCTGTGAGGTAAATGAGATATCTAAAAGTAAAGAATCTTTTTAAACTAATCATTTGACAGTACAGCAGGTCTGATCAATAATTAGACTTGCCATCTATCTTAAATCTAGTAAAGTCATAGATTTAATTTCACATGATATTCATAATAAAACTAGAAAAATGCGGTCTGGATTATACTTTTTGGCACAGTCAAAATAGGTTTTTCTCAACTAGGATTCTGGGATAGAATAAGCCCCAAAGCCCCAAGATATCCATTGAGTGTTATGAATTAACTTCTGTCTTATGCATCTAGCACAACACTAATTAGGTACCTTCCCTGAGATTTTGAAAAATTTTGAATTTTGAAAAAAGTTCTACAAATTTCCTATATTGTTATTTATATAATAGGAACCCAACTGAAGAAGGAACAAGGTAAACATAAAAGAGAATTACAGATACAAGTTTTATCAAGACTCATATATACAGTACATCTTCAACAATGATTAGAGAAAAGGTTTATCAGGTTTACAGACGCTATAGATTGGGAGTCAGCATTTAGAAGGACATGATGCAAGAATCTGAAAGTATCCTGGTAAACTGGAGAAGCAAAAATGTTCAAAAAACAAAATTAAATATTCATAAAAAAACAAAAGATACAACATATGTGGAAATTAATGAAGACTTAGGAGTATGACTGAAACATCTGAGAAGTACCAAAAACTCACCAAGCTCATGGCCACTGAGTCGACCCCAACTCATAGCGACCCACTTTGACTTTCTGAGACAGTAAATCTTTACGGAAGTAGACTGCCCATCTTCTTTCCGTGAAGTGGCTAGTGGGTTTGAACCACCAACCTTCTGGTTAGCAGTCAAATGTCTCAGACATCATGCCACTACAGCGGATATTAAATGAGTATCAAAACTGAAAAAGTCAACCTAGTAACGGTAAGAGTAAGGCAGTGAAAAATCCTTTATTTCATGCTCAGCACCAGGCAGGATCTAATGATGGATATATTTCTAGTTTGGTACTATTAGTGGAAAACAGAGAACTTGTGAAAGTTCATAATGATTAACAGGCTGTAAAAGACATGTAAAAGGATCTGTGTTTATTCAGGAAAAAGAGAAGACAAGGGTGACACAGTAATAGTTTATATTTATAAAAAGATCGTAAAGTAACTAGAAAATTTCCACTTTGGAAAGAAAAAGAAAAAGCAGCATAAACCACAGCAGGCAGGACAGATAGAAGTTGCCAGTGAGGGTTATTAATTGCTATGTATCATAAGTTAACAAATACAGAATTACCATCTCTACATATCTTTCAAAAAGAAAATACTGTTGTTGTTGTTAGGTGCTGTCAAGTCAGCTCCGACTCATTGCAACCCTGGGTATAACAGAATGAAACACTGCCTGGTCCTGTGCCAGCTCCACAATCCTTGTTACACCTGAGCCCGTTGTTGCATCAACTGTGTCAATCCATCTCATTAAGGGCCTTCCCCTTTTTGGTTGACCCTTCACTTTATAGGTTCTTAATTTTCAGAGTTAGATATCATTTTTCTAGAAGGTGGAATTTATCATCTCTTGACACTGCCACTGATATAAAGCAGGGGTTGGCAAATTTTTTCTTAAGGCCAGATAATAAGCATTGTAGGCTTGTTGGCTGTATGTTCTCTGTTAAAACTATTCCAACTCTGCCATTCAGTGTGAAAGCAACCAAAACCAATACATAAACAAATGGAAGTAACTGTGTACTAATAAAACATTATTTACAAGAACTGGTGGCCCTGAGGCCTTGGTTGCCAACTCCCGCTATAAAGGGTTTTAGCAGTGACAGTTTTGAGGAATGGGGCTCAAATTATTTTGCATGGGACCTTAGACAACAGTTAAAATTTGATATATATTTTAACCAAAATAAAATAACAATTCATGACAGAAAAAGAAAAGAAACTGGTAAAGAAATTTAGGATTACATTTCAAATACAATCTGAGTACAAAGAATTAACTGTGTATCTGTAGCACAGTTTAATTGTCAAAACCACAGCATGGTAAAATAGTCAAAATTTTCAAGTGAAATCAAGGTTAACTAACTCAAATAGTTTAATAAGTTTAGGTGTATTCATGCAATCCTAGATTTCAGATTGTTGGGCTAATCCACTGGAAAACTGAAGATCTTCCCTGCATATCCTCCCTCCCAAAATTTCCTAGTAAATTACAATAATAACAAGAGATACCTTAAAAGGCATGAAGGCAGAAGAATGAGGCAGGGTGGTAGCACAACCCACTTGATTCAACCCTGACAGCAACTAAATTTCAAAAGAGGAAGAGAAGAAACAGAAAGCAGCATTTACGTTATCAAAATGTCACACAGGCAGATCTGGTCAGTGAAATTAGAAAAGGAAAGGCCATTGACAACAGTCAAATAGTTTACTAAGATATTGACAGGGAAACACATGATTTGTAAGACCGTTTTTTCCACCCATGTATTTCAAGATATACACAATACTTCATACTTCATTAATCAAGAAGTAAGAGGCATGATTTACTAATAACGATTTTCTACCATTTATGCAGAAAAAAAAAAGAGAACATTTTTAAGCAAAATGCCTTTAGAAACTGTCCTGTGCTGTTCTTATGATGGGAGGAGGAGGGGAGAAACAAATCCAGTCTAGGAGCTAATTTTAACTGAGCAGAACTACCATGTATAAAAATAGTTTTTCAGTATGAATCCAAATTAGATTTATTACAATTCAATTTTATGTCTCTGATGTGAGAAAACAAGACCTGAAAATTCTGCATCAAACCCTGAGACCGTACCAGCGTTTCACTGCAGCCTCCATGAAAGTTTAGATGACCTTTATAAGAGGGCAAGGGGAATTTCCCTTTCTGAATCTTTTACATTCTCATCAATCACCATACAATCAACTAGTTAATCTCAGAAAGGGTTTCTCTTAGAGCACTTCCCAACACTTACACACATGCTTTTGCAACTTATATCAACTTACCAGCAAAGAATTCTAAGAAAATGGTTAAGTCAGAGATATTAAGTATCAGAATCTATTGTACAGAATCTTTATTACAGGTAAGAGCAGCATAAAATATGACTTTTAAACTTTGGTGGGGTGTAGAAATCAGAAAAGACAGGAGTTTAAGGGTATGTGGTGGATAAGATTTTACCTGTTAAAACAACAAAAATTCTAAAAGCTAAAAAATATTAAAGACTTTATAAGTAATTAAAAAAAATTAAAACTAGGATCACAAATTCCAGAATCATGGAATAAATTGTCAAGACCACTTCTTCATATAGAAAAAAGGTACGCAGACAGTCAATAAATACAGCTGCATTTTTAATGAGCAGGTAGCAGTATCTTTTTTTCCTTGATAAAAAGCATTTATAACAATGTACAGTAATTGCTAAGGAAATTACTACAACATAAGCTACTTTAAGGCAGAAAAGCAAATGAAGAAATAAATGTGGTATTAAAAAAAACAAGACTATCACAACTGACCAATCCCTACAACAGTAACAGACTATATATGCTTTACCTATTTAGATTTCCTGGGCCTCCTTAATCAATGTACTAGACTTACTGCCATTGTCAACACAAAAAAGCTCAAAGCCATTAAGCCATTAAGCCATTAAGGTAAAGGAAAAAAGGCATGGAGGGAAGAAGTGAAATGAACCTAGGTACTCTTATATAAAATATAGATGAAATCAACATGAGTTTGAAGGGAGGGCCTTAGATGATGATGTTGCTGTTCTTAGGTACCATCGAATTGGTTTCAACTCATAGTGACCCTATGCACAATAGGATGAAATATTGCCCGGTCTCGCACCATCCTTAAAATCATTGCTATGTTTGAGCCCACTGTTGCAGCCACTGTGCAAATCCATCTTGTTGAAGGTCTTCCCCTTTTTTGTTGACCCTCTACATTACCTAGCACCCTTCTCCAGGGCCTGGTCTCTTCTGACAACATGACCAAAGTATGTGAGACATAGTCTGGCCATTCTCATTTCCAAGGAGCATTCTTACTGCACTTCGTCCAGGACAGATTTGTTTGTTCTTCTGGCACTCTGTGGTACTCTCAGTATTCTTCCCCCAACATCACAACTCAAAAGCATCAATTCTTTGGTCTTTATTCACTGTCCAGCTTTCACATGAATATGAGGCAACTGAAAATACCATGGCTTGGGTTAGGTGCACCTTAGTCTTCAAAGAGACATCTTTGCTCTTCAGCACTTGAAAGAGGTCTTCTGCAGCAGATTTGCCCAGTGCAACATGTTGTCTGATTTCCTGACTGCTGCTTCCATGGGTGTTGATTGTGGAACCAAATAATATGAAGTCTTTGACAATATCAGTCTTTTTTCCATTTATCATGATGTTGGTTTATTGGTCCAGTTGTGATGATCTGTGTTTTACGTTGAGGTGTAATCCATATTGAAGGCTGCAGTCTTTGATTCATCACTAAGTGCTTCAAGTTCTCTTGCTTGCGGTAAGCAAGGTTGTGTCATCTGCGTATCACAGGTTGTTAATGAGTCTTCTTCCAATCCTGATGCCCCATTCGTCTTCACAGAGCCCAACTTCTTGATTTGCTCAGCATATAGATTGAATAAGTGTGGAGAAAGGATACAACCCTGACACACTCCCTTCTTGATTTGCTCAGCATACAGATTGAGTAGGTATGGTGAAAAGATATAACCCTGATACATCCCTTACTGATTTTAAACCATGCAGTAACACCTTCTTCATTTGAACCACTTGGTCTGTGTTCAGGTTCCTCATGAGAACAAAAAGTCTTCTGGAATTTTCATTCTTCACAATGTTATCCATAATTTGTTATGATCCACAAAGTAGAATGCCTTTGCATAGTCAATGACACACAGGTGAACATCTTCCTGGTATCCTTTGCTTTCAGCCAAGATCCATTTGACATCAGCAATGATATCCCTCCTTCCATGCCACAAAAAGACCATGGGGATGGCGTCTTCCAACCTCCTCTAACTTCACAAGGGGGATTTGGAATTACCATAAGCAGCCTCAGCCCAAGGCTGATTTCTATGAAGTGGAGGTCAGATATGCCACCCCCCCAATCTTTTTACCAATTCTGAAACCAATCATTCCCCCCACAGCACTCTCTACTTCTCTGCTGGGTTCAATAACTCTTTTTCAATGGCCACACAGAACTCACAGACAATATTCACGATTATACGGTTCATTAGGGAAGTAACAAGCTACAATTCAGGTTCAGGAACGCTCAGGATACAATTGTCAATCAGGACAGATTTCCCTTTGCCCTGCCCACAAGCATGCCTCTCTTTGGCCCTCGGCCTGACCTCTGCCCTGCGCAGACAAGTGTTACAAAGCTCTTTTAGCTCTGCCAATAGGAGCAGCTGACTCCACCAGCAAGCTTCCTGACTGAGGCACTCAAGATCATCACTCTGTGGCCTGGCAAGCCCACTGCTCTGTCCCAGGTGGGTCTCTTGGTTCTGCTGTGTCTACTGCCTCCATCTCTCTGCTGTCTCTGCCAAGGAGGTCCAGCTCAAGGATCTCAGGTCCAAGGATGTGCTCCACTATTGGTTCTTTCTTGATGGCAGTGAGATCCCCCTTTCTAACTATGAGATGGCTCATTTTAAGTCTAAGTGAGTGGGATGGCAAAACTCACCAATCCCCACATTAGGATGCCATACACCTTATTTGCATGGTCCCATCCCCACAAGAGTGCCATGTACCTTATTCACATTATTAGCAAGCTATCCAATCCCATGGATGGACCACAAGCACCTTACATTTGCACCTCGTTGTCTGTGGGGAGTCACAAAGACCATGGATAGAAGAGCCACTTTAAGCAATTCACTGCAACACACATACCTTCTTCAGAATCTGGCTTGAATTTCTGGCAATTCTCTGTCAATGTACTGCTGCAATCACTGTTGAGTTGTGTGCAGAAAAATTTTACTTATGTGTAATATTAGTGATATTGTTCAATAATTTCTGCATTCTGTTGGCTCATTTTTCTTTGGAATGCGCACAAATATGGATCCTATCCACCTGGTTGGCCAGGTAGCTGTCTTCCAAATTTCCTAGCACAGAAGAGTGACAGCCCCCAGTGCTACATCTGTTTGCTGAAACATCTCAAAGAGTATCCCACCAACTCCTACAGCCTTGCCTTTTGCCAATTCTTTCAGTGTAGCATGGACTACTTCCTTCAATACCCTTAGTCCATGATCATATGCTACCTCATGAAATGGAAGAATGTGGACTAATTCCTTTTGGTACAATGACTGTGTATTCCTTCCATCTTCTTTTGATACTTCCTGTGTCATTCAATATTTTGCCTATAGAATCCTTCAATATTGTAACTCAAGGCTTGAATTTTTTCTTCAGTTCTTTCAGCTTGAGAAATGTTGAGAATATTCTTCCACTTTAATTTTCCAACTTCAGGTCTTTGCACATGTCCTTATAATACTTTGTTTTGTCTTCTTGAGCTGCCCTTTGAAATCTTCCCTTCAGCTCTTTTACCTCATCATTTCTTCCATAGTCTCAGCTACTCTCCATTCAAGAGCAGATTTCAGAGTCTCTTCTGACATTCATTTTGTTTTTTTCTTCCTTTCCTGTCTTAATGACTTTTTGCTTTCTTCATGTATGATGTTCTTGATGTCATTTCACAACTCATTTGGTCTTCAGTCACTGGTATTCAGTACATTAAATCTATTCCTTAAAAGGTCTCTAAATTCAGCTGGCTTACAGTTAAGGTCATATTTTGGCTCTCGAGGACTTGTTTTAATTTTCTTTAACTTCAACTTAATGACGTGCATATGAGCAATTGATGCTCTGCTCCACAGTCAGCCCTTGGCTTTGCTCTGCCTGATGATTCTGAGCTTTCCATTATCTATTTCCACAGATGTGGTCAATTTGATTCCCGTGTATTCTATCTGGCAAGGTCCATGGTGAGGTCACTGTTTTTGTTGTTGAAAAAAGGTATCTGCAATGAGTAAGTTGTTAGTTGTGCAAAATTCTATCATGTGGTCTCTGGTGTCTATAACCAATGCCATTTTCCACCTACTGATCTTTCTTTGTTTCCATCTTCCACATTCCAATCACTAATAATTATCAGGGAGCTCTAGTGGCGTAGTGCCTAAGGCATCTGACTGCTAACCAGAAGACTGGCAGTTCAAACTCACCAGGCACTCCTTGGAAGGAAGACTGGGCAATATACTTCTGCAGAGACACCACCTTGGAAACCCAAGGAAGGGTACATTATGACTGCATGTTTGCTCAATTTCAGACTGCAGAAGTTGGCAAAA